GGGTCTGGCTGGAGCTTCAGCTGCAGGTTTGGGCACAGGCTGCAGGTGCCTGGAGAGCACTGTGTGCTCGCTGCACAGAAGTAGGTGGCTGAGTCCGCAGGCTCCGAGGTCCTTATTTGCAGTGACACAGAGCTCACACTTTTATTGGAGAGAAGTCTGTATTTTCCTTTCTCTTCTTCTTCTTTATTGGAATATATGGATATCAAAAGTTCAAGGCCTTGACCAGGGTATTGTCGATACCAGGGAAAGTAGTTAAGCGCTTTGTCCTTATATTCACAGTTCAGAACTGCAGTTTTTCCTTCCTGGACCATCAAAGACTGAGGACGCTGTTCCACCTGCTGCTGGCCCTTTTTGTCCTCCCGTTGGCCACTCACCCCTGCTAAAAAGAAGAAAAGTTACTAGGTAGCAAATGTACATTTCCTCCTTAAAGTTTAAACCTTCAAGAGTTTGTCTACACCCAATTTTCTCATTCCCCCCAAATTAATGGCCTATCGTAAGGTTCTCCCCATGACTCACAGCCTAGCTGAAGACATAGAACTAAAATGGATGTTGCCAGGATCTTGTCCATTCCTCCTGTCCAGAGCTCGGGACACTCGGGATCTTCTGATGCTGCAGTCAGCTGGAGCTCTGACTCAGACTCACCCCTGCATAACGCTTCATGAGGCTCCGGTGTTCAGAGGCGCTTTCACGTAAAGCTCTCTCGATCAGAGGAAGCACTTCCTCATTTTATGTGGAGGCGTGCTGAACTTTCACTGAGAATCAGATGCCCCTTTATGTGAATTCTCTCTCCTGATCACAAAGATCCTTTTCCTCACTGTCGCAGTGTGATAAACTGTGTAACTCCAGACTCCTTTCCTCTGAGAACAGAGGAGCTCTGCTGTGTTCTACATCAGCCAACCAAGAAAATCTAGCCTTGCTTCTCCCTCTATCATATCTGCTCAAACATGCACTGTGTGATCTGGAAATAATGCTGTCGTGTGTCTGCTAGTGTCTTTGTCAGTGCGTGAAGAAACAGTCTTCACTAGATTGCACTAAGTGAACATCCATCAACTAGTCACCCAAGGCATCTACTTCACAGCAATAACAGTCTAGTTTTTGTGCCTCATTAAAATTTTTCAGGAAAACCAAAATCATGCACTACGACATGTTGACTGTCAACAAAGAGTACATTATTTTACAACTGGGGAAAGGGATACTCACAGCAAGCTACAGGGTTTTAACTGGGGAATTGCTTGTTGTTACAGTGATTAAAATTGATTAAAATATGTAAGTGACAAAATGCTCCATTGATAAACAAGATCATGTCCATGAAGCACTCATGATGCCGGTGCCCTCAGGGAACTTCAGTTGTATTCCATCTAGGCTGTGTCTATATTTTATATAACCCTAAGAAATGAGAGTTGATAATATAATCAATTGCATTTTCTTTACACTCTTTTAAAATTTAAAGCAGGTAAACTAAAGAATAAAGAATTCTAAAAGCACATTTTAGGAAAAGAATTTGAATAGTGAGGAATTTTCATCTCTAAGGTTGCATTGACATTGCATTAAGGCATAAGAGAGAATTGAAATTTTATTTGAACTTCAGAAGGTTGGAGCTATAATCAATCTGTGATCCAGTTTTTGTTAGTTCCTATTCTGATTTTAAAGAAATATTGAATACTTTCTTTACACATTATCCTTTTGGATGAAATACAAGTATACGAAGAATTAATTGGCTTTTGAGAACAACACGATAGAATATAGAGGCAAACTTCAGGATAAATTTTAAAAGAACCTTACACATGTAGTGATCTTAATTAGAATCAAAATAAATAGAAGTCTGTGTTTTTCTTCTGAACATATGTCACAAATCTATTTACCTATATTTGACGTAATCTCAAATCCATTCAAAGAGAAACACCATACAGTGCAACAAGAGAATCAGAGACCCCACTCCTAAATCATCAATCTAAAGCCATTCTACCTCAGGACTTTAAGGGTTTTTAACTGTTTGTTTAATTTTCTATATATGTCGGGTTTTTTTGCATGTATTCATGAATACTTTCAATAGATATTTACTAATACTCACTAAGTACCTACTAAAGCAGCAGCACTTCGTCTCATAAAACAGATTCATTCCATGCAACACTCAAATAGAACTAAATAGAACTCATCAAAGAAAACTATCTGACAAAAAAAAAGAGTGATGAACTCTATTTTGGGGTGCAGTCATAGAAGAGCTCCAAAAGAGGTGACAGATGCTCAAACAGGGACTTAAAACATCAAAAGATATCTCCTTTGAAAAAGAGAGAAGGGGTAGAATATAAGAATTCTAGCATCACATGAACTCGTGTTGTCAGAGCTAAGACTGAGTACAGGCAAAAAAATACAAAATTATTTTATAAATGTTTGGGTGGCCTTAATTATATGTGGCAGCAAATATAATTCCAAGAAATGTTGATCTCGAAAGACATATTTTCCAACCTATTAAACTAGCAAACACATTGCCTTTATTATTTTTGTAGATGAAGAAAATAGATACATAGTGGTACTGAGGAGATTGTTTGATATATTTTGAGCTAAGTAGCAGATAATCATTTACTCGCCTTCTAAGGATATGTCTGGCTACTTAATGGAGATGTGCATGTGGGACACACATGGATCTGCTCTGAAGCAACACTGCCCCTCTGTGGCCATACAGGTAAGTGACACTGCACAACTTTCAAGAGCTTCTGAAGAGTTTGTGCTCAGTAATCCCTGCTTCAATCCAAAGCACCAGTGTAAGTGGCTGAATCTTCTAGGCAATGACTTTGTTCAGAACCACTATGATACCATGATGCTCCATATTAGGTTTGCTTCAGATGCATCTCAAAGTTGCAGTGAGATGGTCAATATACCAAGAAAGACCAAGCTTCCTGAAACCAAAAAAAATGGACTAAATTGAGGAAGAAATAGGCAACTCAATAGTATAGTTCAATTTCTCACCTTTACTCATAACACCACTAGGCAAAATATCAACAAGAAAATGAAGCCTTGAACAAGTTCATATCAATAAGGGGAACAGTCCTCCACCCAACAGTAACAGAACGCATGGTCCTCTGGTGTATGTAGGGAACATTCTCCAGAATAGGCCACATCCTGGTACATAAAATAAAGCTTTAAGAACTTAATGGGACTTAGTTGAGTGAAGTAAATGTTTTAAAGTATTTTCCAAGCTTAGCAAATGTATGGAATACATAGTCTGTATTTGTTTACTTTGGTGGGTCCCCAAATTTTTTTTCAGGTCTCTGAATTCCTTTTTATTGGACATGCTTTTGTGTGTGTGTGTGTGTATATATATATATATATATATACAAAAAATGATATATATAATAGTTTATTTTTGCATCATTTTTTACTTTTTTTTTTTCATCTCAATTGTAATCCCTGTGGGTTTCCCATCACCGAGTCACCCATGTGCCATCACCACAGTCCAGTGCACTTCCTTCCCCCCACCCCTGTTTTATCCCATTCCCCACTCCACCCCCATAAAATGTTGCTGGTATATGGCTGTTCATTATTCTTATTATTTTCTCGCCTGGTCCATTACACTCCTGCTATGAGCGAAACTATCCGGTATTTTTCTTTTTCTTTCTGGCTTATCTCACTAAGCATGATCTTTTCCAGCTCTATCCAAGTTTCTACAAAAGACATGTCTTTCTTTTTTTTTTTGGTTGCTAAGTAGTATTCCATTGTGTATATGTACCACATCTTTTTTATCCAGTCATCCACTTTTGGGCATTTGGGCTGCTTCCCAAAATGTTTTATAATAACTTATATATGAACCTACCAAAAAAGGAATTATACTGATTACTTATTCTGGCAACTAGATGGACATTGAATCTAGGGTTTTGAATAGTTTATGATTTTATTTAAAAAATCCTTGCTTTAAAGATGGGTCAAACACTACACGACATACACTTCAGCGACATCTTTAAAGACAGAGCACCCAACGCCACAATAGTGAAGGCAAAGATAAATAGATGGGACTACATCAAGTTAAAGAGCTTCTATACAGCAAAAGAGACATTATTAAAAACAAACAGAAAGATCACTAATTGGGAAAACATTTTCTCACACAAAAGTAGTGATAAAGGACTGATCACAAAAATATACGGAGAACTGATGAAACTCAACAAAAATAAAGTAAACAACCCCATCAAAAAATGGGCAGTAGAGCTAAAAAGACACTTCTCCAAAGAGGAAATGCAGATGGCCAACAGGCATATGAAAAAATGTTCAACATCACTCGTAATAAGGGAGATGCAAATTAAAACCACAATGAGATACCACCTCACCCCAGTGAGAATGGCACATCTTCAAACAAGTAGCAACAACAAATGTTGGCGAGGATGTGGAGAAAAAGGAACTCTCCTGCATTGCTGGTGGGAATGCAAACTAGTACAACCACTATGGAAAACTGTTTGGAGGTTCCTCAAACTGTTAAACATGGAGCTTCCCTATGACCCAGCAATCCCACTCTTAGGTATCTACCCAAAAGACACAAAAACACTGATTGAAAAAGATACTTGTGCCCCCATGTTTATTGCTGCTTTATTTACAATTGGAAAAACATGGAAGCAGCCCAAATGCCCAAAAGTAGATGACTGGATTAGAAAGATGTGGTACATATATACAATGGAATATTACTCAGCAACCAAAAAAGAGAAACACATGTCTTTTGCAGCAACTTGGATGGAGCTGGAAAAGATCATGCTTAGTGAGATAAGCCAGAAAGAGAAAGAAAAATACCAGATGGTTTCACTCATAGCAGGAGTATAATGGACCAGGCGAGAAAATAACAAAAATAATGAACAACCATAAACCAGAGACATTCTGGGGGGTGGAGTGGGGAATGGGATCAAAAATGGGGGGGGGGAAGGGAGGGAAATGCACAGGACTATGGTGGTGGCACAGGGGTGATTTGGTGATGGGAAACCCGCGGGGATTACAATCGAGATGGAAAAAAAAATGTGCAAAATGATGTAAAAATAAACTTTGTAATAAAAAAAAAGTAAAAAATCCTTGCTTTAAAATAAATTTCTGGCCCTCCCTGTTGGCGCAGTGGATTAAAGCACAGCGCTGCAAGCTGGCCACAGCTACTTCGGTGCGAGTTCGATCGCCAGATCTGGAGGTGATCCACATGGCAGGCAGACCTCTCCTATCTCACCCACTGTTCCCCTCAGCAGTGTACTTCATCAATTGCCTATTCTGCTCCCCACTCTGTCTCTGGTGAATCCTCTCACTGCCCCTGCTCCTCTGTCCTGTACCCCAGTTCTATATGTATAAATAAATAAACCTTTAAAAAAATTAAAAATAGTGGTCACTTCGGCAGCACAAATACAAAAAAAGAAATTTTTAATTAATTAATTTGATTTCATATAACTTGACTTTAATGAAATAAATTTTATTTAAATTATTGAATACTATAATTTCTGTTTGCTTTGTAATTTTGATAGACAATTTTTAAGAAAATATTTTGTAACTGCATATATGAAAATAAATTTAGTTTGTGTTGTCTCAAATTCTATATTAACAATAAGTCTCTATAAATAAAAATTCTCTGTAGGTAGATTTAGAGGTAGGAAGGGTAGGAAATGACAACCATATTATGGCTGAAGAAGAAAGTGAACTGCAGGCCATGGAGATGAGAGAGTTACAAAGACATCTCTGTAAAGGGACAGTCACCACAGGCAGATGTACTGAAAACACTGCTGAGGGGAGCAATGGGTGGGTCAGGGGAGGTCTGTCACGCCATGTGGAATTGAACTCATGCTGCAGTGGCTCCTTTCACCACTCCTAAACCTCTGGCCTGTACCCCAGTTCCTATACGCATAAATAAATAAATCTTTTTTTGAAAAAAAACAACGGGTGGGGAAAGAAGCACAAATGCCCAGCCCCAAGTAACTATGGGTGAGGTCAACAGCCAGGGGAAGCTATATAACCTGGAGGCAGGTGAGCTCAGAGAGAAGAGGCAGGAGAAGAGGAAGAGTGAAGAGCTTTTTCCTGCTGCTCAGTTTGCACCTGGGTACAGCTGGAAGGACACATGTGGAGGAGTCAGACAGGGACATCTGAGAGGTACATGAGAGCTGACAGTGGCAGGCACACACTTGATTTGTATTTTTGTGTCTCTCCTTTTGCCCAGCCTGACCTGGCCCCTCTTGTATCCTCCCTTGGTTCCCTCAAGAAGGTGCCTTAGACTTGTGGCAGCCTGCATCCTCCATAGCTCCACTTGGAGCAACCCTGTTGGCCTGGGCATTTGACCTGCAGTAGATGGGTAATTTGGGGTGTTTTATTGGAAAACTGTGACTCTTTCTTCTCCTCTGTGTATGCTAATTCTGTTATAGTTCTTTCACACCAAGAATCTATTTGCTTTGTGCACACTTTAGTTTGGGGACCTGGGGTACCCTTCTGTATACCACCCTAACAAGATAAACTAGTCAACAATGTTACTAATGTATTCTAGCTATACTGTGAGACATAGAAAAACAGTAAGATGAAAAGCAGAGAAATGAGAAAAGAAGTAGAGAATATATGAAATAAGGAAGATGATTAAGAATCACTGTTGGTGATTATAATTGGAATCTTAGTGGGTATTACTGAAAGCCAGTTGTGAGTTTAAAAACAGGAGAGACAAAACAAAAAAACCTACCTCAGTCACTCAACTTTCATACACCAAATGCAAGAGACCAGACCTGGGTTAGAAAACCAGTATTCTACAGAGATGAAGTTTCTCATCCTCAAGAAACTATGTCAAGTCTTGGGGTTTGGGTCAAGGTTGTTATAAGGGTATCATGAGTCAGGTAATGGTGGAGTTTTGCTGCTCAGTTAGGGGTGTTATCTTTAGTGTGTGTGTGCGTGCGTGCGTGTGTGTGTGGTTATAGTGGCAAGCTCCCAGCTGCCCTGTTTGGGCAGAACAAGTGGTCTGGTGTTCCTTACATCCATGACTCATCTGTTAACAAAAAAAAAAAAGTTCAAGTTAATGCCTGGATATCTGCTTAAGGCTTTTAAGGCAAACTGATAGATTGATAGTGATTGAAGAGGCAAAGCTAAATGTTTTAAGTTTAAAGGAATGGCTAACAAAGGCAGAAGTCTTCTTACCAGTATGTGTTTTGTTTTCTCACTTTCAGATCTCGTAAGGAAAGGAGGGTCATTCAGGACACCTAATTCCAAGATTCATGTGGAACTTTGGCATGACAAACTTTGGTATTGACTTTGGAAAGATCACTTTGTGCACATCCTTCAATGCCATGTTCATTACGTCCACCAATTCTCAAAGAGCTAAACTCCTTAAGGACAGAAATCTGTCAGGTTACTAGTGATCTGGAGAAAAACATTTTGAAAGAATTGTTTTTCCTAGACTCCTATTATCATGATGCAGTTCTCTGGTTTGCCTCACACCAGCTCCCACACCCCCCTTCCATGGAACCACCTCAGCCCACCCTTCTTTTGAAATGACATGAGAACAAGCACACCCTCTCATTGGCTAAAAATTCTACAATAGCACTCCCTCTATTTGACTCTAAAGGACAAAAATGCTACACTTTAGGAAACAGGGGTGTTTACTTTGGTAAATGAAGATTTAAAAGTCTCATATTTTCATAATAACAGACACTGGGACCTCCATGGAGGCTCAGGGCGTAAAGACAGCGTTGTGAAGTTATCCCAGTCACTGCAGCAGAAATTCCATCTGAGGCCGGACAGGGAGCTGATCCACGTGGCCCAACCGACCTCTCCCGCCCTGCCTGCTGCTCCCCTCAGCAGTGTGTTTCAGTAGATGTGCTCCCCACTATGTCTCTGGTGACTCCTCTCACCAGCCTCCTCTCAAGTCTGGCTTACACCTCAGTTCTTGTATGCATAAACAAATGGTTTGTAAAAATACAAACACATCTCAAGATTTTGTTTTTCTGTACTATTTGGCATTGCCACATGACACACAAGCAAGCAACTTAATCTGAGAATTCGAGTCTTTGTAGGTGCAAAGTCCCAGGTGGTTTGTGTTCAGCTCCCCCTGCAGCCTCACGCACTGTGTCACTCACTGCACAGAAGTACTGGGCTGAGTCGCTCAACTCCACGAAGGATTTCCTCAGGTGGAAAGAGGTTTTTCCCTCTTCATGTTCAGCCTTAAAATCCTTGATGCCCAAAACAAGACTGTTTCCAGATGTGTACCTCAGGATGAGCTGGAGGCCTTGGTTGGGGTACTGGACGTACCAGAAGAGGTATGGTGGAACAGAAATGGTGTAGTTGCACCTCAGCACCAGCGAGGCTCCTTCAGAGACAACGACTTGGGTGTCCAGTTGGGTCACCGACTGCGCTCCAGATCCTCCTGCAACATCATGTTGGGTCAACAAACTCGGCTTAGGCAACCTCTGAGGACACATTCAGATTCACACCTGGAGAACTGTGTTCTGCTTATGGACACAGGACGAGAGAAAGATACTCACTCAGCAACAGGACCATCTCAAGCATCAATGCGAACGCCAAGGTCATGATGGACAAAGGAGCACCTTTCTCGGAAATCTGCACAGGTGAAAATCTGGGGTCTGGGGAACCCAAACCAGGCTTGCTGTGAGGTGAGGGGAAATGGCACGGGGTCTAGAGTTCCTCTTTTTGTGGATGTTGTAGGTACTGCTGAAAGAGACAAGCTCCTGGCAAGAGAGTGCTCTGCTGTCAGAACACTCTATGTTCTATGAAGAGAGACTTTCCTGAGCTCACTTCAGATCCCTCACAGAAATACCACCTTCATTTTAGGCAACAGCGTCCTCTAGAGGCCAGTAGCCATAAGGAAAATTTTACAATTTTTATGAAATGCAGGCACCTCCTTCCTGGCCTTCTATGGGTAAATTACAAAGTAATATGATTGTGTTAAGATGAAATCTCCTGTGCTGCTGATGGTGAAGTTTTGAAACTTGGAATTTTTAAAGAACACAAATGAAGAACAAGTGAAAATTTGTTAAAGGTGTATTAATAATAAAATTTCAAAATAAAATAAAAATTGAAAATTCGAAAAAAAGTCTTATAAGGATGAAAGCAGGAAACCTGCAAATAAAAATACCACAAATATATGAAATGTAGAAAATTGCATCGTATTTTCTTACTAATTTCCTGTAAATGTCTAAATGTCCCAAAAGCACAGCAAAGTTCTTTTATACATTTGACTCAGTTTTCTCCAATGATAACAACTTACACAATCGTAGTACAATGATTAAACAAGGCAGTTGATCTGGATGTGATGATACCACACTGGTTCTTCATGTTCTATGCTTTTTTTTTTTTTTTTTTTTTTTTGCCTGTAGTTCTAAGCAATGTCATCCTGTGTAGGTTAGTGTAATACAATCAAGACACAGATCTGTTCCTTCACTGAAAGACTCCCCTTGACACATCCTCCATCCCTACCATCCTGACAACTTCTAGCAACCATGGCTCTCATTTCCATCTCTATAACTTAGCTCTTCTGAGTATAAATTGTATGCTAATTATGTATGAATCATATAATCCAATAAGTGGAACGAAACTTTGTAGCACCTTACTCACTCAGTAGAATGTAGTTAAGATCCACTGCATTTGCTGCTTGTACGATTCGTCCCTTCTGAAAGCATCCTGCTGTATGGGTGTACTTGGCTCTAATTATCTGTTCACTGATGATGGATTATTTGGCATCCAGTTCTGGGACAACCAAAATCTAACTGCCATGAATATTCATGCACTAAAGTTTGTGTGAACACATTTTTCTTGCTTTAGCATACACACCTGAGTGTCATTGCTGGGTTGGAAGGTTTAAGTAAATATTTAGTGAAACAGCCAAACTTTAACAAAGAGACCAATTCACTCATCCACAACCACCAGTGTATGATGATCTGATTTCTCTGCATTGTTACCAGGATTAAAAAATCACCAGCCCTCCCTGGTGGTGCTATTAGGACGCAGCACTGCAAACTAGCTGCAGTTGCTTCATTGTGAGTTCGACTCCCAACCAGGAGGTGACCACATGGTGTGGCAGACCTCTCCGGCCCTGTCTGCTGCTCCCCTCAGCAGTGTACTTCCTCCATCTGCCTGTTCTGCTCCCCACTCTGTCTGGTGAATCCTCTCACGACCCCTGCACCTTTGGCCTGTACCCTAGTTCTGTATGCATAAGTAAATAAATCTTTTTTAAAAATCAGTATTTTGATTTTTTTGGGGGGGCATACAGAACTGGGGTACAGGCCAGAGATGTGGAGGGTGAGAGGATTCAACAGAGACAGAGTGGGGAGCAGAACAGGCAGATTGACGAAGTACACTGCTGAGGGGAGCAGCAGGTTGGTCAGGAGAGGTCTGCCACGCCATGTGGTCACCTCCGGGGCAGGCGGGAATCGAACTCATGCGGAAGTGGCTTTAGCTTCTCAGTGCTGTGCTTTAACCCGCTGCGCCACCAGGGAGGGCCAGTATTTTGATTTTAACTGAATCCATATGTCTGAAGCTGTATCTCCTAGTGAATTGATCTGGCAGTTCCCTAATGGCTCATAAGATCCCACATCTGGACACATATTTATTTAAATGATTCTTTGCTTACCACACCCCTCCATGATGAAGTATCTGTGTCTTTTTTCTATTAATGGGTCTACTTATTTCTTCCTTTGGACTTGTGAAATTCTATACATCTGCATGCCAGTCTTTTAATGAAAAGGTATTTGCAGGTATTTCCTGCTAATGTTTTTATATTTTCATTCATTTGTCAGGTTTCTCACAGACTTATCATTTCTAATACTAATAAAAATTAAATTACTTTGCATGGATTTTGCTTTACTGCCATGTCAAAAGTCTTTTTCTCTAACCCTAGACTAAAACCTTTGCTTATTTTTCCCCTAAAAGATTTATAGCTTTATATGTTATACTTGGAGGTATGATCCATTTTAAGACTAGCTTCAAATTTTTCTATCAGCTGTGACATCTAGGTAAGTGGCTATTCAACTGTCCCAACACCATTGTTGATAATTCATTCCATAGAATTGCCTTTGCATTTTTGGCAAAAATAAACTGTTGTCTTGACTTGTGCAGTTCTATTTACAGTTGCTAACTCAGGGGCATAAAACAGATAATGATACTGCTTTATCATCCTCTTAACATTGTCAAAATGGAATATGGCTTTTCTTTTCAATCCTTGTATTTATAATGAGTGTTTTCCCTCTTTTTTTCCTCTTAATTCCAACTAGAAAGATTTCATACTTATTACACTTACAACATTATTTCAGAAATTAACTTTGTCATTTAAGAATATTCTTTATCACTTGTGTCTATTTCATCAGTTTGAATTCTTTATTATTTATTTCTATTAACTTACTTAGGGATTTATTCCTCTTTGTTTTTTTTTTTTAATTTTCTGTTCAAAATTAGTCAGCTGTTTTTACTTCTTCTGTAGCACAAATATTTAAATATAAGGTTTCCTTTTATGTACTATTGTCACTGAATCCACACATAGTAGTATGTATATATTTTCATTGCATTTTTTTTTCAAAAACTTTTCTAGTAGTCGTTGCAATAACTTTACTTATGAGTTATTTTAAAGTTGGATGCTTATCTCAAATATTTGGGACACATTTTTAAGTGAATTCTATGTATATCAGAAAATATGTGGTATAATTTCAATCCTTTGAAATGGATTGACCTTTTTATGGCCAAACAGTGTGTGTGTGTGTGTGTGTGTGTGTGTGTGTGTGTGTGTGTGTGTGTGTGTGTGTGAGACTGTTTAGTCTCCACAGCAGGGTCTGGCTGAAGCTTCAGCTGCAGGTTTGGGCACAGGCTGCAGGTGCCTGGAGAGCACTGTGTGCTCGCTGCACAGAAGTAGGTGGCTGAGTCTGCAGGCTCCGAGGTCCTTATTTGCAGTGACACAGAGCTCACACTTGTATCACTTTTATTGGAGAGAAGTCTGTATTTTCCTTTCTTTTCTTCTTCATTATGGGAATATATGGCTATCAAAAATTCAAGACCTTGACCAGGGTATTGTCGATACCAGGGAAAGTACTTAAGCGCTTTGTCCTCATATTCACAGTTCAGAACTGCAGTTTTTCCTTCCTGGACCATCACAGACTGAGGACGCTGTTCCACCTGCTGCTGGCCCTTTTTGTCCTCCTGTTGGCCACTCACCCCTGCTAAAAAGAGGAAAAGTTACTAGGTAGCAAATGTACATTTCCCCCCTAAAGTTTAAACCTTAATGATACCACACTGGTTTCTCGTGTTCTATGAGTTTGTCCACACCCAATTTTCTCAATCCCCCCAAATTAATGTCCTATCATAAGGTTCTCCCCATGACTCACAGTCTATTTGAAGCCATAGAACTAAAACGGATGTTGCCAGGATCTTGTCCATTCCTCCTGTCCAGAGCTTGTGACCCTCGGGGTCTTCTGATGCTGCAGTCAGCTGGAGCTCTGACTCAGACTCACCCCTGCATAACGCTTCATGAGGCTCCAGTGTACAGAGGCGCTTTCACGTAAAGCTCTCTCCAGAGGAAGCACTTCCTCATTTTACGCGGAGGCGTGCTGAACTTTCACTGAGATGCCCCGTTTATGTGAATAAAGTTCAGTCTATAATTCTCTCTCCTGAACACATGAACACACAGTTCCTTTTTCTCACTATTGCAGAGTGTGATAAACTGTAACTCCAGAGTCCTTGCCTCTGAGAACACAGCAGCTCTTCGGGAACCACCCAAGAAAATCTAGTCTTGCCTGCCACATCCCCTCCTGCGGCGCCTTAGTGAGAAATCCTTAGAGCTTGGCATGGTCAAGGTACCGGGCACACGGGAGGAATACGTGGCCCTCCAAGAATAAAAGAATGGCTGGTTCTCGAATGGTCACTGTAACTTTTTGATTGGTTTTCTGATTCTGTTGATGCACAACAAAAAATGCTATGAATACTGTGCTTCGTTTCTAATGATACTCTTGAAAGGAATGTAACTTCCTCTATTCTCGATACTGATTTACTTCTGAGAAACTCCCTTACAATCTTTAATATTATTATACAATTAATTCCTATATAACAGGTGGTTTGTGAAATGAATGGAGAGAGTAATTAAAAGGATTAGAAAGGCATAGGTGATAGATAAGGTATTTGTTTAGCAGCACTGAACCTTGCGTACAGGGTGGTTTCCTAGGGCCCCAAGTTGGTTTCGGGCCCCTGACAACATCTCAGAAACAAAAAGAAATTAATGTATTACCTGTCATGCCTCTATTGAAAAAATCGTTGTACCCCTATATTTGCTTGCCAAGAAAAACTGTACAAATGCTTTGCACTCTTAAAAATAAATCACATCTAGATATGCACTCCTAGAAGTCGTGTCTGTCTGTCACTCAACCTCATCCTTGTCCACCCTGCGCCAGAATTGCCATCCCTGAAACTTGTCTCCTGCTCCTGCTGCGCTGGTCTGCGGCACTTGCTTCTCCCACTTCTGCATCTGCTCAAACATGCACTGTAAGATGGAAAGAACACCATTATGTGTGTTTTAGAGTCTTTGTCAGTGCGTGAAGAAACGGTCTTCACTAGATTGCACTAAGTGAACACCCATCAACTGGTCACCCAAGGCATCTACTTCACAGCAAAACAGTCTAGTTTTTTGGTACCTCATTAAAATTTTTCAGGAAAAAACAAAATCATGCACTATGACAAGTTGTCTGTCAACAAAGAAGTAATTTTATATACAGTTGGTAAAATGGAGACTCACAGCCAAGCTATAGGATTTTAACAGGGGGATTTCTTATTCTTACAATGATTAAAATTGACTAAAAACACATAAGTGACAAAATGCTCCGTTGCTAACCAAGGTCAGGGTAAGTCCATGGAGCACTCATGATCCCAGTGCCCTCAGGGAACTTCAGTTGTATTCCATCTCACTGTGTCCACATTGTCTATAACCCTAAGTAATGAGAGATGATAACACAATCAATTGCAATGTCTTTACATTCTTTTAAAATCTATAGCAGGTAACCTAAACAACAAAGAAGAATTCTGAGAGCATACTTGAGGAAAGAAATTGGGTAGTTTGGAATTTTCATTCCTAGGCGTGGATCGACTTCCAAAGGCAAGAGAGAATTGAACTTATTTTAATTTTTTTTGAAGCTTGGAGCTATAATCAATCTGTAATCCAGTTTTTTGTTAGCTCTTACTCTGATTTCATTCATTCATTTATATATTGAAGTCAGTGACTTCTTTTTTAAAAGATTTATTTATTTATGCATACAGAACATGAGTACAAGCCAGAGGTGCTGGGCGGTGAGAGGCTTCATCAGATACAGAGTGGGGAACAGAACAGGCCAACTGACAAAGTACACTGCTGAGGGGAGCAGTGGGCCGGTCAGAAGAGGTCCCCTTTGCCATGTGGGTCAGCTCCCAGACCAGGAATCGAATTGTGCTGAAATGGCTGCTGCTAGCTTCATAGTGCTGCACTTTAACCCCTTGCATCACCTGGAGGCCCTTACTCTGATTTTAAAGGAACATTTAATAGTTTCTTCACACACTATCCTTTTGGATGAAATACAAATATATGAAGAATCAATTTGGCTTTTGGTGCTAACAATAAGATATAGAGACAAACTTCAGGCTAAATTTTAAAAGAACCTTAAAAGATCTGCATTTAAGAATTAGAATCAGGGCTCTCCCTGGTGGCACAGTGGGTTAAAGCACAGCACTAAGAAGCTAAAGTCACTTCCACATGAGTTCGATTCCCGCCTGCCCCGGAGGTGACCACATGGCGTGGCAGACCTCTCCTGACCCGCCCGCTGCTCCCCTCAGCAGTGGACTTAGTTGATCTGCCTGTTCTGCTCCCCACTCTGCCTCTGGTGAATCCCCTCACTGCCCCTGTACCTCTGGCCTACACCTTAGTTCATATGCATAAATAAATAAATCTTTAAAAAAAAGAAGTAGAAGTAAATGCTTTTCTTCTGGACATATGTCCAAACCTATTTACCTATATTTGATGTAATCACAAATCCACTCAAAGACAAATACTATCACAGAGCAACAAGAGAATTTGAAGACCCTGTTCCTTAATCACCAATCTAAGGCCATTCTACCTCAGAACTTTAAGAGGTTTTTAATTATTTGTTCAATTTTTGATATATATTATTTTCTTTTCGTGTATTCATTCATTCATTAATATTTTCCATAGGTATTTACTGATGCTGGGTAGGTGTCTACTAAAGAAGCAACACTTTGTCATGAAACAAATTCATTCCAGGCAACACTCAAATAGAGCTAAATAGAACTCATCAAAGAGAACTATGTGACAAAGAAAATGATAAAGAGCTCTGCAGGAGGCCAGCTCCCGCCCAGGTAGGGTACATGTGGGAAGGGAAGGCGTGGAGTGGCCAGTGAGGAGACAAGGCCCTGGATCAGGTGGCACGCGTCTCCTGGGAAGTCTCTCAGGTCTTTAGTTATATATTTTGCACTTCCACGTGTTTTGTAGTTTAATTTTCCAAGAATCTTAAACCAATAGTTACATAATTATAATAGATTACAAAACTACAAAGCACTCTAGGTCAGGATACATACAATTATAATAGATTACGAGGTGGTAGTTTTTTTTTTTTTTTAAA